TCACACATAATTTAAATCTCGTTCAATTACAAAAAAGAACTATTAGCATAGAATTAGAAATTGGTGTTATTATGAAATACAATTTTACGTATATGTATGTGTAACACAAATCTATGTATAAAACATAGATCTGTAGGTATATATTCACATATATTAATAGTTTTGTATCATATATAAAAGCAAGAAATTGTTTCTAATATATTCTTAGAACGTCCATCAATTTCCCATAAAGAAGGAAGATTTAATAAATATAAATTTACTAAGCATACGTATGTAGATGCACAATGTATGTAAAAAATGTTATATTTACATTTATATAAACATACAAAACCATATCGATCATTTTCATTCTAAAAGTGATGGATATGTCGAAAATAGGAAAGTTAATTGAGTGGATAAAAAGAATTCTTTAGTGTTGTTATATTGAATTGGGATTCAAAGGATATTCATAAAATTTATTAATAGAAGTTTATTTTACCATTATAGAAGACCTAACCATAACAATTTAAACGGAAGAAGAATTCTTAGAAAAATTTTGTCTTTTTGTGTGAATTACTGATTTTTAGAATTGATTAATAAATTCTTTTCAGGAATTCCAGCCGGCTATTTTCCAATTTCGAAAGCAAAACAAAAGAATAGTAACAATAACAGCAATAACACGTTCTGCAGATGGTTAATTGTTTAAGTAAAGTGGTCAAATTCGCTATAAAAAATTTGTTTGGAAATTTCAATAGACTTATTATTTAATGGCTCATGATAAAAAAAAATTAAATTTTGAATTGAAGCCACCATAAAATTGTAAAATTCTCGAACAATTTGTTAAAAGAAAGCCATACATATTTGTAATGGAATTTGAATCTCTTTCGAAAAACAAAGAACTGTAGCGAAATGTTAGTAATGAAATCAAGGAAAACCCAACAACAAAAAAACACTCAATGTCCTTTAAGCATTTATTTTATATTCTATGAAAGTGAACCTTAAGTACATGTACCTCGAAAAATTATAAATTTAGTTCTTAGTTGAGATTCAGTTTTTGTGATTCGAATTTTCCTACCAAGTTGCAATTGACTTCGTAATTAACCAGAACTATATTATGTTTTGAGAAATTTCGTCAATTATTTCTTTGTAACTTTATTCTTACTGGAAGCTTCGTTTCCAAGCAGTGACATTCCTGAAAAGTTTAATGGTTAATTCTCATAATAACAAGACTTGAAATATTAAATTCGAAGAAATTTGGTTGATTATGTCTCTTATTATATATAATGAAATAACCTTCTAAATTTAAGCTTATTTTAACTCAAAATTTTCCAAATGTTTCAAATTCCATTTCCCCACACTTCTAACGAACTGAAGCTTCTGAAATAACCAACAACAAATAAAACCAAATGAACTGAATACATACATATTTAAACAAACATTTATTCTCCCCTTCATTTTTTTTTTATTTTAGTTATAATACGAGTTTTATGATTTTATATTCCTTAATAAAATTAAAAAATAAATTAAATTTTACTTCATTAGTTAATTAAATTAATAATTTGCTATTTTATTCAAAATGAACTTCTAGTTTATATTCTTCTTTCTTTTGTTTTCTCATACATTTTATTAATGGAAGACGAAAAAATTTTTTGAAATTCGATAAAAACTGACCTAGAATATGTACATATAAGTATCTATATATAAATATAATATATTTATGTAAATATAAAGCTATATTAAATTTTAAACATATACAAAACATAAATGTATACAATATTATCATTTAAAATATAAATATCTACATAATTATACCTTAACAAAATGTACTCGTACAAAAAAGCTAATTTTATTTTATTAAAAAATATAAAGAGTAACACAAAGTATTAATAAGGGAAAAAATAAAAATTAATTCGAAGCTCTTAAATAATAATCTTGAAGCGAGTGTTCCTTAAGTTACCAAAATAATTTCTATAGAAAGTTTCCAAAGTTAAATGAAAAATAAACAAAGTGTCTTAGCAAAGAAATTGCAACTTATTGCAGTTTGTTATGAAAGTTATTGTTTTCCGGTTACCTTGATAATAGTTTAATGTATTCAGGATCCTTTTGCACCACCCACTTTTACTTTCTAGCTCTTTAGCTTTTAAAAAAAATATTTTCCTTATCAGTATAGTTCATTTAGTGTTTAAAATCTTCGTCCAACAGAAAGTCTTTATTTTCTTTTAATTGATTGACTAAAATAAATACATAAATAAGTCGAATAGGGTCGAGCTATATATACCATTTTGTTATAACAAAAAGTGCTTAGCCAAAAAATTATATTTAAATTTAATGCAAATTTTAGTCAAGTTAATACTCGCATTGAAAATATTTCCAACTTTTAAATCAATTGATTAATAAAACCAATTATACTTTTTTATATATCGACTTTTTAACGATCGAAATCTGAGAGGAAAAGATTTTTTGAACATGTTAAATACCTGTTAAAGATGGAATTCCAATGTTGGGTCTTATATTTTTAAAAGGGTCTAATTAATTTTTTATTATCGAAGAAAATTCAGTTTAAATAATATATTCCAAAAGTGTAAAAACGGTAACTTCAGTAAATGTAAACGCCTATCGTTGGTATGCCCAATGTTCGTGTATAAAGTTTTGTTAAAAAAACTCACATTTAAATTTTTGGAGAAATTAGTTCAATAGACAAACCGATTGACTGATTAATTTTTTTTACAAGTAAGTTTTCGTTAATTCACTTCTAGAATAGTTCTAACTTATAACTAATAGTTCCAGTATAGATCGTTCAGAAATTACTCGTTGTAATAAAGTGCATTCAAAAATTCATTCTATAACAAAGAAATGTAAGAAATACAGCGAAGACATCTAGTTTAAAGTTTTTCGCTAAGTATTTATTATTGTTTTAAATTTAAAATTTTTTAAAATATCAGATATTATTTACTTAATTTTCGGACGACTTATCATTTCAGAATTTGCATAAACATAAAAATCTTAGCTCAAGTTTTTGCATACTTTTGTTTATTAATATTAATAAACTTTTGAGGTCAGTATGTATAAATGGAAACCCCTAATTATTAATTTAATTCAGTGACATTCATTTTTGTTGAAAACTGTACACCCAAAAATCATATTTTCTTTGTTTTTTTTAGCGGTTTATTAAAACTGAAACAAATTCAGCTGGTTACTCAAGCAAACACTCTGCGTAATATTTTTTATACACCAACATAATATTATGTACAGATTCATGTATGTATATAGTACTTAATAGCCACTATATATATGCATGTATAAGTATATTATCTAATACATCTCTTCTTATAATTTAAATAATATTATATAATAGTACTTAATAATTTATATAAGTTTTATCAATTATTTGTTATAATTTTTTTTTCAATTTATTTATTTGTTTTTTGTTTTTTTTTTTTCAATATATAATAATTATATAAAATCTAATATTTTGTTTTTGTATATGATTATAATTTTTAATATATAGTATTTTATATAATATGAATAACTTAAATATAATAAAGAAATTTTATATAGTAATAAAGTTATATAACCATATATAAATAGTATATATGCATTCAATATATATAAAATTTTTGCTATATATATCAAAGACTTTTAAATATGAGTTTTATATACTTCAAAAGGATACAGGATGATTGATTATGGAGTATATAATAATAATAAGTATTATGTATGTAAATAGCATAGAAAACAAAGTTAATATTTATGTACTTATTTTAATTAATTCAAAATTTATGATTTATGATTTATTATTTAATAATTGAAACATAAATCTTTGTTATTTAAATATAAAATTTAATTTTCTATATATCAATGTATATATAATGCATTTTGCGTAAATTTTATTTTAAATATTTTTTCTATATAACGAAATTTCCAAGTTTAACATTAATTATTTGCAAATATAAAATGGTCAATATAGTTTTTAAATATTTTGTTTGTTTCTTTCTAGTAAAAATATGGTTCTGGTATGCATGTATGTATATGTTTTATAAGTATAAAATATAAAAATTTAGGAAATTTTTGCATCGTGCGCGATTATTCTTGAACTTTATAATAATAATAAAGATGCATTATATTTATGATTATATAAAAACCAATATAAATTTTAATACCTTCTTTGCTTCTTAAATTTACATTTTATACTTTATACAATTAAGTTGAACTTTTATTACAATCATTTATTGTTTTATTCAATTTTTTTAATATTTTTGTTATTAGTTATTGAATTAAAAAAAAACTAATTTATATTTACAACGATACAAGTAGAAGATTATCAAATTATAAATAAAACGTGAAAGACAACGGTTAATGGCACTCAAAATATTGGGTCAACATTGAAGAAAAATTATGTTAAAATAGATAAAATTGTTGAATAGAAGTTAATAGAAGTGTTGTTAAATTTTGTTACTAATTTACAAGAATAGCTTATATTTAGAGTTGTTCGACCCAGGAATTTCAATACACCCTGCATTTACGAGCAATATTTTAATATAAAAACAATTACAGCATTTCAATTATATAAAATCACTACTCAATGAAAACTAAAGGATATAGCAATATTCTGATATACATGATAGCATTACCCGTTAACTTATTTGAAAATCAATCAAATAAATCTCAAAATATTTTTTAGTATATTTTATATTTATGCATATTGTGTGCACAACAGCATTGAAAATTAAAGTTTGTACATATTTGACTTTATATTTCTATTTTACTAAAACTTAATTTTTTTATAAATTAATTTATCATAAAAGAAATGTATTTAAAATAACTCCTTCCTTAATTCAACTTTTCTTGCTGTACTTTTGATATCTGGTATCAATAACGTTATAGGTATGCGAGCACTGTTTGAAGTTTCACAATAAGTATTAAAATTTTCTTTATTTTTGAACGCAATATCCCTATTTAAACATTTCTTTCTTTTGTATACATTTTATTTAATCAATACAATTCGAAATCAGTTTCCGAAAAATTTAAGTATAATGTATGTGTTCAAAATGATAAAGTATGTGATTATAGGCGTTTAAATTTATTTAAACTTATTTTTCTATACTAGGGAAGTTGGCTATTAACGTAAAGTAAAACGAAATTTTAATTGAAGTTCATAAAATTAAAACCAAATACTAAATACCGTGGTAATTTGACTAAAATGAACGTTATGTATGAATTGTACATTTATTATACATTAATTAAAATTTATGTATAAAATATCTTAACGTTTTTTATTTCAACTAAGATACATTTTATTAATCTTTTAGATAAATAAGATACATTTTATAATTAAATTTTATTAATCTTCGGTTTCTAATTATGCACTTGTTTTGGAATAAATACAATATGTGCACTTTGATACTGTATAAACTATACAGGATTAAGGTAGATATTTTGGAATATTATTGTACAGTTTTGGAATTAATATATCGAAATTTAAATTTTCTAAACTAAATTTCAAAAATTTTCTTAACCTGAAAATATTAGCCCAGAAATTAATGAGTACGTTTAACTAAAAAATAAATTAAATTTAAAAAAACCTTCATCATATTTCAAGAAATTAGTCATTTTATTATTCATTAATACATATGTATCTATGTACACGTAGTTATGTATGTATATGTATGTACTTTTACTTGTGTATTACATTATATTTGTATTTTTTTTTGTAAATAAATTTAATAACTTAAGACAATATTATAATTTATCAGTAACATCAGTAAAGTGTACATGGTCGCTTTGCAACTCTGTTCCTAATTTTTTAAAAATTTTATTGTTCACAAATATTATTATGTATGTACATACATGTACGTATACTCGTATGTATACTGTAACTTCAATTAGATAATTAACTATGGCTGAAGAATTTATTGTTTTATTTTATTTTTACTAATTTATTATTTAAATGTAATTGTTATTGTTCTAATTATCCGTCTCATACATTGGAAAATATATATATATTAATTAAATTTTAATATTTTATATTAAAAAAATTGTAAAATACACTTTATATTAAAATAACTTATAATAAAAAATTTTGGTATATTACTTTCATTTTAAATAAAATATCGCTTTCATAAATTAATTTTAATTTTTTTTATACAATGGTCCCAGTTATTGAAGACCACTTATTTGATGAATTTGGTTCTGTTATAATGTATGCAGCATTACATACGCTAATGCTATTGCTTTTCTTCTTATTATGTATTATTTTTTTATTATTATCTCTTATTTCAATTTTGATTGATGTTGTTGTTGCTCTTCTTGTTGCTTTTAAATTATTACTACTATTATTGTTATTAATTACATTACTATTACATTTTTTAATTACATTTTTTAAATTTACACTATTACTATCGAATTGTGGATGTTTTCAAAGGACTTGTAAATTTTCACAATGTTTAAATTTTGAATCCTCCTTACCAAATATCCATGTGATCATTTGACGAGCCTTCATACTTGCTCTTACTACGCTACGGCTTTTGTACCAATGAGCTGGTGAATTTTCACGTTCCCCCTATAAATTTTATTTGAAATTTTTTTTATATTATAAAAATTTAAAAAAACTATATGTAGTATAACAAGTATATTAAAGATTTGAAGGTGTGTTAACTATGAATTTATTTAAAAAAATTAATGAAGACGGAATTAAAAATAAAAACATAAAGAATATTTTTATTGAAAATATATGTAAGTTATAAATATAATATTGTAAGAATATGTGCAAAAATAATTGTTTTTTATATTTTTATAATAATTTTTATACAAATAGTTTTTATGAATATTTTGGTGTTAGGGAAAACAGATGCATGAGAAAAAATATAATAGAATTATTTTTTTTCTACAATTTAAAAGATAAATGTGAAATGTAAATTAGTTTTACAGGTGATAAAAATTATCGATGCATCAAAAAGGCAAAGTTTTACTTTAATAACTTAACAATTTTGCGACAAAGATCTGTCAATTTTATAGCCACTAGAATATTATATTAAAGGATTATTAATTTTATTTATTAAGGCAATTATTATTTGTTGCACTACATAAACAATTAGAAACACTTTAATTTTTTAAAATATTTTATTTTTTTATGTTACCCAAATTTGTATGTATAATAAACTATTTAAGTATCATTATAAGTATATCCCTATTAAAACACAAAAGCAATTAAAATTATATGTTTAGTTATGAGTAAATAAAATAAATTAATTAAAATCTTAAAGCAGATGCATGACAAAAGCATTGCAAAAGGTATAAAACATCATTAATTAATATTAAAATACACAAAAAAAATTCTTAACATGCAGTGCTACACTAATAGCATAAGTATGATAACTCAGTATGATAGAATTTACAATATTTCAATCGAGAACTGATTTTCAAAAATAAAGTTTCGAAATTAAAACAAAAAAAATTTAAGTTTATTGACAAAGAATTTTAATTAGTCTCATTTCTATCACAATTTGGTCATATTATCTAATGTTATAAGCAACATTTTAAATATAATTATATCAAAGATGAAACTTTTCATAGTGAAATTGAAAATAAGTAACATTATTTCCGTACAAATTGCTAGAAATGTATCTAAATACATTTCTAGCAATGTTCAATGATTTCCAAGAAATATGTATTTACAAAATTTATCAATGAGAAATTGACAGAATGCATAATTTTTCCCTCAAAATTTCCAAATTTTAATTGATTTCCAGATATTCAGTTCTTGATTGATAATAAAATATTTTAAATTTTACTAATTTAATCTAAAAAGGGAAAATTCTGGCTTAATCTAAATTATATTTACTGGAATCACTAATTATATTGATCTAAATAAAAAATTCTGTGGTTTTCCTTTTAATGAAAAATTACATGAATAATGTAAGGATCTTTCTAATAATACATAGGGAGATAAAAATCAATAATTATATCTTATTTTTTATAGTATATGCTTTTTAAAAAAATTTTAGCACAAACTCTCTAAAATCATCATTAAATAAAGGGAATGAAACAGGATGGCATTTTCTTATTTTGTTTCGATATTTAAATTTAATAAATTAACTAATTTAATAAAAAACTATAAATATTTTTAATGTTTAGTTAAACAACTATAAATAGTTAAATTAATTTTTATCCAAATAAAAGATGATTTGAAAAATTTGTTTATTTAGTCATAATTTACCGATATTTATTTTATATTATTTATTATACCAATATTTGCTGTACAGGATGGCTCAATTTCAACGGTTTAAATTAATTTATATGCTTCCAGAATCATATCTAATATTTTCCATCAGAGAAAAACTTCTTCTAACATCGTTCTCTTCAAGTTGCATCACTTCAAAATTGGTAAAAATTGATTCTATTTATTAATTCTTTCGAAATTATAAGCTAACTAAAAATTTAACAAAAGTTCCGCTCGATGCTTTTGTTGATATATAATAAATTATTTGTATCTTTGTAATTGAGATCGTATCAATTGCATCGATTCTATCGATAATTTTTCAATTTGTTGTTACTCAACGTTATCGCGGATATTATTAATCTTATCTTTAAATATCAAATATTGTTTCCATTTTGTACTGTTCTAATAATTGCATAAAAAGAAAGAACAAAACCTTTGTTGAATATTAAAAGAAAATAAAGTTTTCTATTAATTTAACTTCCTTTGGGAGTGGGGGGAATAATAAGTTTGTAGTTAAAATCTATTTGTTTCTAAAATTTCAGTATTTTAATCAAAGGGATGGACAAGTTTTGCAACAAAAATATGGACAAATGTGTGAGCGAACGGACGAATAGACAGAAACAAACTAGAAAGCCCTTTTTTCCCTTTTTTTTTAACTTATACGAAATGCGTTTGCATATGACAAATGTTCATACATTTTACGAACATGTTAACTTTAAACCATCCTGCACATTGTAAAATTTAAAAAAAAAAGAAAATATTTTTGTTCGCTTTCTTTTGAACTTAAGTTTTAACCAAATCTTTTTTTCAGGTTTTTTTTTCTTCTTCACTCAATAAATGTTTTTAATGTTTTTGTATTTACAAACAAAAAAACAAGGATTGTTTTAATTTAGTTCAACAATAAAATTTGTTATACAATATTTTTACTTAGTTATATGAAGACATACACAATTACATAATATATACAGTACTAGTACGTATATATGTTAATAAATATGTATAATATATGTATTAAAGAAAGGATAAAATTAAAAAAAAATATTTATTTTCACAAATTTCGTAACTTTAAAGGATCGTTAATTTTTTTTTCGAATTACATTTGTTTTTGCTTGGTTTTTTTATTTTCTAAAAAGTTTTATTTTACTTACCGAATTTTCATAATTTTTCGATTGAATAAGTTTTTCAGCTTCTTTGGTTTTATCAGAAGATTTTTTGGCATCCTGTTTATACCAAAACATAATTTGTTGTTTTATTTAAAAAAAATTATTGTAATTTATTTTACTAGATACTACCCCAAACGCAGAAAATTTCAATTTTAAATTATAAAATCAATAAAAGCATAAGTACAAAATTTTCTCTAAATAATGTGTTTCGAAATTTTTGGAAATAATTTTTGCAAAAATTATTCAAACTATATTATAAAGGCGAAAATTTATAATAATAAAATTGTCAACTTTGAGATGAAAATTGCACTGATAATACAATTTTAAAGAAGACTGAAAAATCTTTTAACAGCTGCTTATAAAAGGCGTAATCTTTTTATTATAAATAAAGTTTGGTCAAACCTATGGTTTGCAATGTAGCACTTTTCCTTTCAACAAGTAAAAATACTGCTTTTAAAAACAATCTAGCTATGTTCTACATTATTAAAATTACCTTCATTCTTATACGAAATTATTTCAAGGATTGCATACATTTAGGATGAACAATTTATGCAATCTTTGAAATGAAACAAGAAAAATTTAAAGAGGCTCGATTTTAAGGGTTGATTGTGTGAGTTACAAGAAATAATTAAATTTTTAATGGCATGACATTTACCGTTAGCTTTCTGTATTTATAGAAATTTGAAAAAACTTACATTTTCAGAAATATAAGGTGCCAAAAATTCAAATTTTACAAATATCGTGGTGCGATAACTTGAGAGGGGGTGGAGATGGAAAAAACTTTTCTTCTAACGAAATTAACTATTTATTAGTGTCTAAGAGCTGTTAAAATTTTGGACTTTTATAACCTGTGGTCTAGAAGAAAATGACATCAAAAAATTAGAAAAACCGGTTTTTTGTTTTTAAGGTATAGTGTGCCGCGGTAGAAGATGCAACCTACTATTTTTCTGCGTTTACAAAATTGGAAAAATGCTTATGGTTTTACTACAATAAATAGTTAAAAAATGACATTTTTAGGGTTTTGCGGGGGTATAACTTTTAAAGTGAGGGAAGTTAGTAAAAATTTTGTTCTACGAAAATTAATTTCTAGTAAAGATCTATGTAAATATAAAATTTCAGCTTTCTATCTTCAAGGGTGTAGAAGTTTTGTAAACAGACACACGAACAGACAAATGGGCGGAAGTACGAACGGATGGATAAAGTGAAGCTAATAATCATCGTTTTTCAAAAATTTTTTGGAAAAGAGCTAAAAAACTAATCATTTTAGTAAATAAAAAAATTAACTTTCAATCTGAAATCAAAATAAATTAGTAAAGAAAAAAATCTTGTTTTGCAGTGAACGTGACTATAAAAGTGAGAAAATTTATTGGAAAACGATAGTAAGATCGTTGCAAATTTTCCCTTTTTTGGGAATGTTATTGAGAAACATTGAAAAGCAAAAAGACCTAAGATCGTGGAAATTTTCATAAAGATATCTTCATATTTTTTACCGAAATTTATATTATATCCGGGGGAACGAGTAATCGAAGAGTATCATAAACTCAATATTCTGTTTGTAACGCTTATAAAGGCGTCTGGGATATAACAACAAGTACTATTAGTTTCCAATTTTGAGTCGATTTGGCTATGATTACCCGACCGTTTGCCGTTCTGCCTGGCGAAAATTGTATGTAACTGTATGTAAACTCGGGATCATGAATACAAATTTCTCTTTTAGTTTGCTAAATTTCCTAATCTTTTAAATGGAGGCCTTAATTAATACTAATCCGGCTAAAAATAAAATATACTATTATTGTTGTTCGCAAATATAAAATATCACATTATAGGAAAAGGACGATGGTAAAGAAAAAAGAAAAATAATTTTGCCCACTTTAAAATCGACGATAATGCTAACCTTCTAGCGTTTGAGGTAGTATATTTTTTATTTTTTATTTTATTGCTTTTTTATAGAACTTTTATTATCATTTATTCTTGTTTCATTTCTAAGTTATCTAGAACCTAAAATTTATTTATTTTTATCTTTTTCTTTCTCTATTTTAAGGCTCGTGATTTCATATATACACTTTATTTTTTCGTTTTTGAGTATTCTTTCTGGATTCTCTATACATGTACAAAACGAAAAAAATGTGAAATGCCTGAATCTTAAAATTTAAAATTATTATCAGCTTAAAGTGTAGAAAATATTATATGAGAATTATAAATTTTTCTTTCCATTTTTTAGTTTTCATATGAACGATTTTTACTTAAAGTGAATTCTTAATATTAAATACGTATTTTTTGTCATAATATTTGTTTACATGTAAATACTTATTTATTTTTTCATCATAAATGTGATCCTTGCAGTATTCTCAGCCACAAATTTATTTTAATTTTTAAATTTTATTTCACCATACATGGAGTTAAAGAAGCAACACAACTCATTTAGAAAATTTTAGTTTCTTGTCTAAACTTTAATATCAACTCTTATAATATATAAAATATATGAAATAATTGACAATTTTAAAAAGTTTTTTAAAAGTTATAGAAAATGCAATAAAAAGTCTTTCTAATCTTAGAAAAAATATATATAAATATATACTTGAGTGGGTAGCACTTAAGAACTAGAGAAGACAACTAATTTTCACACACTAGTTTTTCAATCTTTATAGTTATATGATGGAACAAAAAACCTTATGAATGATTGTGAAAATTGCTTATTGGTGAATTGCTATTTTGATGATATATATTTAGGTATGATAAGCCATGGAAAAGAATTTATTCACACATTTTTTTGAGAAATATGGAAGGTGGTTTCAATGAACATTTTTATGATTCTTACTAATTTCTACTACTTAATAATATACTTCGTACTATTTAATAAATGCACTTTATATTATAAATAGAGCTCAGTTTGATCCTTACAAGTTAAGAAAAATACATTTTCCATATAATAAATAAAAAATTTATAGTTTTCTTTAAAAAAACAAATTAGCTTTTATAAAGCCAATCTTGATTTTGAATTATGATGAAAACTGAAATTTTTTCATCTACGAAGTTCGACACCAGCAGAATGAAGATCTAATTTGACTTTTGAACTTCCCGTTAAAACAAAATAAAAAAAAATAATTTTTTCATAAGTTTTAATGTGTGAAAAGTCACTTTCAATGCATAAAATAATTAATCGCTTCGTTCACCTTGCTTGACAAACTATTTGAAAATTTTTTAAGTTTCTGAACATCATTTAATTATAAAAAACAAATAGAAAATATTGAAATTATTACATCTTCGGTAACATAACTATTAATATTTTTTCAAAATTTTAAATTATTTAGCAAAAATGATTGTACATTTAAGCTTTAAAGGTGTACTTTACAAATATATTTGTGCTTATTCAAATATTTTTTCAATTGCTTAATAAACTCAAATGTGGAAAATTCGAAAAAGTACTTAATTCTTCAAAGTATCAAACTGAGCTTCTAGTGGCAATGGGTTTACTGTCAACAAAAATTTTATATTTTTGTTTAATTTATGGAATTGGCAATTCAGAAATTTGTGTTTAGTTATTTTGATGAGTTCGAAGTTATATTTGTTTAATTAACCAAAAATAATGTAAGGTTTTGTATATATGTATGTATGTATGTACTAAAAAATTTGTGAAAATAAGCACTGTTTTATATATGTATATATATATGATCGTGGTAGACTATTTAATAAATGAAAATAGCATTTATTTTCAATAAGGAAACATAAAAAGCTTGTTTTTTTTTTAACTTTTTAACATTTTCACAAGATTCAAAGCTTAAAACAATGCTGCTGCTCAAAATCACAAAATTCTGTCTGATTTGATTTGTGATTGTTGAAATACAAGTATGTATGTATATCTGTTTGTGTGTGTCATATCATGATGAAAATGTGAACATTTTTTTATTTTTAAATTAAAGTTAATGAATGTAAAACATGAAACAATGTTTACTTGAATAAAAAAAGTTAAACGAGATAAAATAAATAAAAAGAGAAATAAACACTTAAATCGCCAAAAATTTCTATTTAGATTTCATAATAAAAATAATTTTGAAATCAAAAATAAAATCTATTTTAATTAAACAAAAAAATAATTTAAAAGAAAATTATTTTTAAATTTAGGTACCTGTAATAAATTTTGTTCTTTCTTTAAACGAATTTGTGTTAGAGTACCAGCTAAAAGTTCATCGCAATTATGATTTATGCCCACTGAAACCTCAATAAATTTTGTTCGAAATGTGCAAGCTAGACATTTACCATCTGTAAATTATTAAAAATTTAAAATATTTACATTGTTATTATTATATTAAAAGTATAAACATTTTCTTATTTTGATTATTGTTTATTTTATAGTTTGGTTTAAAGTGTGTAGGTAAAAATAAATTTTTCTCGAAAATTTTCTTTTTCCCTTTTATATAGTAAAATAATATTCCAAATTTCATATATTCTATATAGAACATATTAACTTAATTATGAATATTATGGTACTTTCAATTACAACCTTTTAAAATCCAAAAGAAAAATAAATACTTTTGTAAATCGACTAATATCAATTTCTTAAGTGAACCCTACTGTGACAAATAAACCCCCAACCTTTTATTTAATTCCAAAACAGCATGTAGGCAATTTACGAATTTTATTAGAATAAACATCTTAAACTTCTTGTTTTTTAATATTAAAAACTAAATTTTTTCATCAGCCATAAAATTTTTTTATAAAATATGATTTTTTTTTATTTAAGTAAATACAATTAATTAAATATACGCGTATGAAAATAATTCATATACAATTCAAATTACCTTGGGCCGATACGGCTCTTGATCTAGCCAAATCAATTTTATTGGCAATTAATATAACCGGTCGTGTCCGAATCAAGTCTAAGTCTTGTAAACGTGATAAAATTTCTTCGGCTCGACTAAATGATACTTTATCTACACATGAGTATACAACTAAATATGCATCAGCTTTTTCCAATTCATCCTGTAATTCAAAACCAAAAAAAAAAAAATTAATGAAATTTAGAAAAAAGTTTTTCTTAAATAATTTTATTTTGTAAATAAGTGTTATGACATATATGTTGCGTAACCATTTTTTGCAAGGCAACAAAATTTATTTTGAAATTTAGTGTCAAAATCATAGGATTACTACAGGTTCAAAAATTTCCCTAATCCATAAATATATTCAGCGATTATTTCCACGCAAATGATTTTCTATTCAATATGAATTTCAACCTTTTTTAGCACTTTTACAAAAAAATTTTTGAAAAAAGTGCTTATTAGTTTCACTCTGTCCGTCCGTCCGTGGACACTTTTTTTGTTTACAAAACTTCTACACCCTTGAAGATAGAAAACTGAAATTTCATACATACATAGACCTTCACTAAAAAGTTATTTCCGTTGAACAAAATTTTTACCTATCTTCCCCCCACTAGAAGTTATACCCCCCAAAACTCTGAAAATGGCCTTTTTTAAATATTTGTTGCAATGAAACCATAAGCATTTTTGAAATTTTTCAAGCGCAGAAAGGCGGTAGCTGGCTTCCCCTAGCGCGGTATACTATACTTAAACTTTAGAAAAACAAAATGGCCGTTATATTTACCGTTATCTAAAGTCCTTTTTTTCCAAATTTTTGATCTCGTTTTTCTTCTAGACCCCATACTGTAGAATTTTGAAATTTTAGGGACCTTTAGACATTAATAAATAGTTCATTTCGTTAGAAGAAAATTTTTTTCCATCTCCATCCCCTCTCAAGTTATCCCCTCTTGAAATTTGTAAAATTTGAATTTTTGACACCTTATATTTCCGAAACCGCAACCTTTTTCAAATTTCTATAAACACAAAAAGCTAACGGTAAATTCCATGAAATTAAAAAATATAATTATTTTTCTTAACTCACACAATTAACCCTTAAAATCGAGCATTGTGTTAACCCCTTTTTATATTAATTTTTGCTTTATTTCAAAGACTGCATATATGGTCATCCTAAATATATGCAATCCTAGAAATAGTTTTGTATATGAATGAAAATAATTTTAATAGTGTGATAGGTATACATAGACTGTATTTAAAAGATTTTCATATTTAAAAGATCAACAGAATTTTCACTTGTTGAAGGGAAAAGTGCTACAATACAAACCATTGGTTTGACCCAACTTTATTTAATACTGTTCCGAATTGGCAAAAACTAACTATTAATTTAACTCTCAGGTTTTTTTCTTCAAGGCAGTAAGTTGTACAAATCTGAAATCTACCAGCTTTTAGACACTATTAAAAAGTTTATTATTTTAGAAAGCACATTTTTCTAGCAAAATATACCAAGATATCGCCTCTCGAAATTCGTGAAATTTGAATTTTCAGCACCTTATATTTCTGAAACTACAAGTTTTTTCAATTTCCTTTAAAAACAAAAAGCTAATGGAAAATGCCATGTCACTCACTCACTTAATTGTGGAGTTTCACCATTGTATTATCACTTTTTTAGTTGATTTTTGTTTGGCTTATCCCAAATGTATGCATAATTTGATATTTATTTTGGTATGAGTGAAAATCATTTAAATAACGCTTATATGTAAATTGTTTTTAAAAGCTGTATTTTCACTTGTTCAGAGTAAGAGTGCTCCTTTACTGGTTTATTAAATTGGGTTTATTCAACTTTGTTACATAATGTTCATAATACGATACTAATAAAACTTTATTAAAAATTTTACATACATATGATTAGCAATGTGTAAATATCAATACACATGCTATCAGCTATTGATATTATTACTCTTTACATAAATTATGAAGTAAGTAAAACTTATACACATGCAAGTAGCGTTCTTTGTAGAAAACTATCTACATTATATTGAACAGCTTTATACATATTGGGCATACATGAAGAAAATTTAGTATATAAAAATCGCGGTATATAAAAAATTTTGCAAACAGAAATGTAACCTAAAAGCAATTTAATATTTTATCGTTCGTTAAGTTGTTTTTAGCACTTTTCCAAAAATTTTTTGAAAAAAAGTGCTTATTAGTTTCACTCTGCCCGTCCGTCCGTCCGTGAACATGTTTACAAAACTTCTACACCCTTAAAGATAGAAAGCTGAAATTTTATACGTATATAGATCTTTACTAGAAAATTATTTCCGTAGAACAAAAATTTTACCTACCTACCCCCTCTAAAAGCATTTTCTCAAACGCAGAAATATACTGGTGACCTTCTTTAAGCACGGCATATTATATTTGAACTTTAAAAAACAAAATGGCCGTTAAAATTACCAGTTATCTAAAATCCGTTTTTTTCAAATTTTCGATGTTGTTTTTCTTCTAGACCAAAAGTTGCTAAAATCTGAAATTTTAACAGCTTTTAGACACTCAAGTTATCACTTCTCGAAATTTGTAAAATTTCTACTTTAAACTGCTAATAGTTCTATAAATGCAGAAAGCTAACGGTAAATTCCATGCCATTAAAAAACATAATTATCTTTCTTAACTCGCGCAATTAACCCCTAAAACCGAGCATTATATCAACATCTCTTTAAATTTATTTTTGCTTTATTTCAAAGACTGCATAAATCGCTCATTCTAAATACATATGTGCAATCCTAAATGAAATAGTTTCGTATATGAATAAAAGTAATTTAAATAGTGAAGTAGGTATACATAGGTTGTTTTTAGAAGCAGTATTTATATTGTTGAACGGAATTCAAACCATTGATTTGACCCAACTTGTTAAATATAACAAAGTTATCGATCAGAATATAATTCAAAAATAATTTGCTTTACAAAATTCGCATAATATTTTTGGTATAATATATTATAATGGTATATTTTCAATATTGTATTATGAATGGTAACATGATTGTAAATTCTTAAGTAAAATTTTGCATACAATAAACAGTAATTTGACACAAATCAAATTATATGCATGAAATTTTAGAGAAACCCTAATCTAATCAATTAAATTTTAAAATATACATATTGCACTATACTTTACACTACATTTTAAACTTAACGGTTCTTTATTTAAACTGTATTAAAATTCATTATAAATTCAATAAATTTTTCATTGTATTTTATGAAAAAGGATATTTCACTAAAATATGAAGTATATTTTTAAGTAAAGACTATCATTTTCTATTTTAATATTTTAATTATATCCAAATTAGTGTATGCCTTATTGTGTAGATCCATGCAATTTTTTATTTATTTATAGATAAAAGGATTGAAAATTATTCATTCATTTGATAATGTATATACGACCAATGTTACTTCCATTATTTCAAAAATTAAAAGCATATTATAGCTAGTTTTTAAATAAGAATGTTCTTTTTTACAAAAGAATAATAGGGAATATATCGATAATAGATTTTGTAATTGAAATCAAATTATATGGTAAGCAGTTTCAATTTTTTAATAAAATGTGAGATATGTGAAGTACATGATAATTCTAGAAATTTTTTCCTAAAGACTAAAGAATAGCCTTTTTATTTCATTTTATATGTACTTTATCATTCTAGCGATACTGTGTTTCTTTTCTATAAAAACGATTTTTTTGTAAATCGATTTCACATTCACACACAAATATATTACGTGATTATTAATATGATTCGGTGAATTCAATTGAAAATTCTAGACATTGTTGCAAAAAAGGTTTATCATATACAAAAATAAATAAGTTGGACCAAACCAATGGTTTATAAAGCAGAACTTTTTCCTTGAACAAATGAGAATACTGTTTTTAAAAGTCGTCTTCTGTAAATTGTTATTTAAATTACTTTCAATAAAAAATCAAATTATTTCAAATGATTGCATACATTTAGTGTGAGACAATAAAAGATGAAAGAAGCGTTAACATAATGTTCGAATAGGACGATTAAGAAAGTGGATTAAAATAAATACACAATTTTTTGATGGCATGATATTTACCATTACCTTTTTAGTTTTATATAAATCTGAAAAGGCTTGCAATTTAGGAAACATAAGGTGCCGAAAAATAAATTATTTATTGTAATAATAACGAAATAAATGAAATAAATTATTTATTGTCACATCCAATATGCTGTTAAAATTTCAGACTTACAATTTACCGTCTATGATTCCCAAAGACTATTCTATATAGACCCCCAGGGGTCCATGAAGACTCGCTAGTGGTCTACCAAGTGAAAATGGGTCTGGGGCTAAACCTCACCAAATTAATGTCAAACGTTGATAATTTATTATCAAACCATCAAATTCTTCAATCCCATTAAATTATTTTTATTTTTTATAAATAAATGTGTGATATATTTTTTAAATATGTGACAATATTGAGAGAAGAAGCAAGTGATACTCGTACGTATAAGATTGAATTTATTTTTTGGTTAGTTTCACTCAATTAAGAATTACTTTACTTAAATTTAAATTTCATAATTTAATTATTTAAATTTAATAATTAAAAAATGTGAAATTCATTAAATAAGTTTTTTATTTAACATGCTCTGATCATAGGTGTACCTTGCTACTGTTAGAAATTTAAATTTATCAAAGAAAGTACTCGTAGCTTAACAACGGGGGTCCATCAAAAATTGAAAAACACGACAAGGGGTCTACGAGAGAAACAAGTTTGAAAAACTTTGGTGTAGAACTTTGAAAGAAACACAATATCAAAAATTGAAAATACTGTTCATTTAATAGCAATTTCGTCATATTAATATTCAACTATTCTGTACCGCGTAAGGATAATTTCGGCACATTTTTGCGTTTTTGGAATTTAAAAAGTGTTTTAAAAAAAGGTTATTTTTAGGACTTTGAGGGGCTATAACTTTTAGATTGCGGTAGATAGGTAAACCTTTTATTGTTCTTTAAACTAAAAATTGTCTAGTAAACATCTATTTTAGAAGAAAACTTTAGCTTTCTATCTTAAAGCTTGTATAAATTGCAAACAGACATACGGACAGACGAACAGACCGAGTGAATCTTACAAGCACTTCTTTCCCATTTTTTTTTTTTGTA